ACTTCTCTCCGTCTGGGGTACATTGTGTCCGCTTATCTGAAAAAAAAACATCAAAAAACAAAGGGTTAGTCAGGTCACCCACATGGTCACTGAGACCTTAACCACTTAAAAGAACTCATTTCCACTGAGCGAGTGAGAACTCTGACTGCAGCGTACAAGAATACAAATGACAACCCAGCTTTGAGGCCCTGCTGTCCAAGTACCATCAGCTCCACAACACTCGGCTATAATGATGGCACACCAGTTATGTACACCCGGCTCTACCCGGCAGGACTGTACAGACATTGCCTCGACTGTCTAAGGTAACTGACATGTTAATGGGAGACTGAGCAATATTCTATCTACCCACTGACCCATGGAGCAGGGCAGAGCAGTTCCAGACTGACCCCAAGTGAGACACCCTGCACCAGTGACGACACACACCATGGGACACAATTAAGAGACAAAGGACACAAAACACAGATGAGACAGAGGACGTGACACAGACCAGAACTGCTCTGCCCTGCACACGTGAATCCAACGATACAAAGTAAGCCCTTCCTTCCATGTGTCCAAATAACCTGTTACAAAATACCCATTGCACTGCACTTAATTCAAAAATCCCTCCAGGTGAGGCACACACTTGCACCGAGTCCCAACCCCACTCTGGGTCTTTGCCCTGCACTTATCTTGCCGACAGCCGGGGACGAGAATCCATCTTCGATGCAGAGGAGGGGCACCTGGGCTGGCTCAGAGGTTCCTGTCATCATGAGAGTACTCCAAGTCAACTATGAGAAAGAAAACCAGAAGCGATATGTGAGTTGTGTGCCATGGGGCTCAGACCACAGTGATCTCTCTACTCACCATCACCGAGGCCAGACCGGAGTCGGACACTGTGGCTGTCACCTTCCGGGATACCTGAGTGAGACATAACATCAGAAGGCATCTCTGAAGCTGCAGTGGATCCCTGCTCTTCCTGCTGCCTCCCCAACTAACCTAGAAGGCTCCTCTCTCTTCAACTGCTCCCAAGGCCTCCCCTGCAAATGAAAGGGTTAAATGCTCAAACATTGAGCTCTCAAACATTTAGGGATGGCTCACAAGCAAAGCCAAAAACCTCTAAACACCATCAGACTCCATGCTGAAGCATTGCTACACACCCTGAAGTGGACAGACGGCCGCTGCGAGAGAACACGGACGCGGAGGCTTGTGCTGACGTAATGCCTCATCCTGGCTCTCTCGGCTCCTTCAGCTTGACCTCTTATAGGATGGACCTTCGGCACCTTCATCAGACAGGCAAAGGGTTGTGTATCGCCTGGAAAAAAAATTAAACAGCTACAACATATATGCACAGATTGACCACATAGACAACATTCTCAAACTAACTCCAAATTCGGCTGGGGATTAAAATTCTCACCTCGCTCGTCTCCCTGCTCAGCCGCTACCCCTCGAGACCGATTGGGCCCATCTGGAAAATAAAGAACAAAAAGGCACAAGATAAAGGACTCCTATGGCTAAAACTGACATCCTGCATCCAACACCTAATACAACCTTCTTACCAGGCTGCTTCAACTGGTCTCGGTCTGGGGTACATTGTGTCCGCTTATCTGAAAAAAAACAACAAAAAACAAAAGGTTAGTCAGGTCACCCACATGGTCACTCAGATCTTAACCACTTAACTCATCTCCACTGAGCGAGAGAGAACTCTGACCGCAGCCTACAAGAATACAAATGATAACCCAGCTGCAAGGCCCTGCTATCCAAGTACCATCAGCTCCACAACACTCAGCTATAATGATTGCACACGAGTTATGTACACCCGCTCCATCCGGCAGGACCGTACAGACATTGCCTCGACTGTCTAAGGTAACTGACATGTTAATGGGAGACTCTGAGCAATATTCTATCTACCCACTGACCCATGGAGCAGGGCAGAGCAGTTCCAGGCTGACCCCAAGTGAAACACCCCACACCTGTGATGACACACACCATGGAACACAATTAAGAGGAGCAGGACACAAAACAGGAACGAGACAGAGAATGTGACACAGACCGGAACTGCTCTGCCCTGCACAAGTGAATCCAATGATACAAAGTAAGCCCTTCCTTCCATGTGTCCAAATAACCTGTTACAGGACACCCATTGCACTGCACTTATTTCAAAAATCCCTCCAGGTGAGGCACACACTTGCACCGACTCCCAACCCCACTCTGGGTCTTTGCCCTGCACTTATCTTGCCGAGAGCCGGGGACGTGAATCCATCTTTCATGCAGAGGAGGGGCACCTGGGCTGGCTCAGAGGTTTCTGCCATCGTCAGACTACTAGGAGTCAACTGTGAGAAAGAAAACCAGACACAAGATCTGAGTAGTGTGGCACGTGGCCCCAGCCCCTGTGATCCCTCTACGCACCGTCACCCAGGTAGGTCCTCGTGTCACTGGCTCTGACCAGACTTGGACAATGTGCTGTCATCTTTTGGGATACTTTACACCCTGTCCCTCTGACATGGGAACGAAGTGATTTACCCAAGTCACCCAGACAGATGGGGAGAGCTCAAAGAGTCTCCTTTCTCTTTAAGCAAACCAGCCAGGGTCACTGCCTGCAGCCAAAGACTGCAGCTGTAATTGCACAGAATATCTGGGTGAAGGAGAGAAAAACTTAAGTGGCCCATCTGAAAAGTCAGTGG